CCGCAGCTTTGCCAAATTTTCATCAAGATCTTCGAACCCAGATGATCCAAAACAGACAGTCATGGCGTACGTGAAGTCTGCCCAGGTTTGATGAGGGTGCCCCCTTCTGTACCATTGAAACCAGAGGATAGCTTCCCCTTCAAGATGCGCAGAAGCCAGAGCTACCCTATCTTGCCCTAGTGTTTCATGGTAATCGAAATACCTTTCGGCTCTGAGAATCTAGGGAGTTGGGTCGCCGCCTGAGAAGATGGGGAAGTCGATTTTGGCTATTCTTGTTGCCGCCCTTGTTCTGTAGCTGTTTTCATTACTGCGCTCTTCTTGGCTTCCTCTGTCAATGTTCGTTACCCCCTGCTCCAGTCAAAGGAGGAGAGAAGTGAAGCCTTCCTTCATTTCTTTGAGATCTGAAGACACTCGATGAATCTCTACCTCCATCTGATCCATTCGGGTGTCTACTAACGTGTTTCTTGTGTTGGTCATGCTGGCTCTGATACCAAATTGTTAGGAACCTGCCTAACTCAGGGCTCTTCGAGGGGCCAGCCTCCTGAATTCTTGGAAGAAGAGAGAGGAAAAGAGAGAGAGAGAGAGAGGGAAAAAGAGTTTAATGCTGAAACAATCAATGTCCTATTCCCTTTCCTGCTCTACTACTTATAGTTTTACAATCTTGATTGTTACAGTTGTCACAAGGAAGTTGTTACAAGTGGATGGTTAGTTGTGCTGACGTGGCCTCCTCTTGTAAAACTGCTTAACTGCCTTATGTTGGTCTGTTCCAACAGTCTTGCCAGGAACAACAACTCTTTATTAGTGAGCTAGATTGGAGCTTAAAAATGAAATTACATTTACAAAGAAAAGAAATGAATCAGTGTAACTTGTATGCCTACTGTTATTGAAATTTGGGAGGGAAAAAGAAGCATTGTCTTTTCAGATCTATTTGCTTCAGAGGGCGATTCTACCAAAGTGAAGTTAAAAAGTGAGAAGAAGAATCATCAGATGAGACATGATAAACCAGTAAGACACATTCTCCATTATTAGTGCATGTAATATGCCTATCTAGAAGCATATGCCACAATGGAGGAGATTATAACTAGATAAAAATCTTGCTCAATTTCCAAATAAATGTTCCATATATTGGCAGGAGTAGCCCCCAAATAAATCTAGAATCTGTTTTTTCATGCAACTCCTCGCAAATAAAATCTTGGTAAAAGTGAAGTAGAATATGCCTTTAAAATCATCCTATGCTTTAATCAAAGCAAACCATAATTTAAAGCAAGCCAATGCATATCTACTTGAAAATTTTTTCACTTGTATAAAGTTATAGGGGAAAAGGACCAATAAGGATGTCATGCTATATAGTTTAAAACTATATGCCAATAAGCTCAACACATGAACTTACATGTTGATAGACCATTACTCAAGCAATAAAGAGTTTCAAAATCATGAACTGTTAAGCACCCCGACTTTGTTACTGATGCCAAGTATATTCCCTGAAATTTTCAATATAAATTGACTGTTAAGACAAACAAGATACAGAAAGCATAAATAAAAGTTTAAAAGAAAAGGTAAAAGAAGATACCCAATTCACTTACTAAAGCATGATAAAATGAAAGGCTTCAAACTCAAAAATAAAAGCATTTTAGCCTTGAACCATTATGTAGAATATAGATTTATGTGGATTATTCTATTCATCAAAGACAACCAACTTCAACTACAGAAGAACATGAAAAACTTCTAAAAGATTAATAATACTCTATTATGATAATTTTCTCTGTAAAATCTGATAAACTTGATGGTTAATAGAAAAAATAACAAGAAAATGAAAAGGGGGGACAGATGGTAGTAGAAAATGCAGTAGTCCCTTCAAACACAAGATGAAAACTATAAGGTTCACAATGCTTGTTTTGAAAAGGTAAGGTAAATTTGTTAGACTAAACTTTGAGAGTACAAACAGAAATCTGCTAACAACAAGGCAGGCCTGGGGACCCCCCATTACAAACACCAAATTGACTGATTTCTCAATAACTGAGTAACATTTACATGTTTGAATTCTGGGGTAACTGAAATCCAGGATATCAGTTTACTAACAGCTATCTGTACTAATTCCTCAGGCCTTCTCACTTTATGATTAAATATTCTGTTGCTTCTCTTGGACCAAATAGCCCAGAGCACTGCAGCCGGGATAGAAGTACAGACCAGCTTCCCTCTTTTCTTCAAATTACTGATCTTCCAGCTACAGAGCATATCCTTAACAGTTTTTGGCATGACCCAACATATCCCCACAGCCTTCAAGAAATGGTACCACACCTGGGCAGCAACCGGGCAGTGAATACAGAGATAGTCCATAGACTCTGAATGTGTTTCACAAAGAGAACAAGAATTATTAGGGATCTGCAAGCCTCTTCTTTCTAGGTTAGTTCTGGACAGGCATTTATTTAAAGCTGTAAAATAAGAGTAAACAGAGGAAGAAGAAGAATTTGTTGTATTATTCATCAATCTYRTWTGTAWATATACAAGTTACAAATTCTATGTTAGGAAAGAATATATTAGGAAAGAAGACTAATCAAATTCCTACAAATCTGTCCTACAATCAAGGTAAATCATATCTCCTAGTATT